AAGTCCATCTTGCTGGTGACGAAAAGAAAAAAAAGGAAAAAGAAATCGCTTGCCACTTGCATTGCTTGTTCTCTAAATACAAAAATGGCATGAAATAACAAAGTACCCACCACCCACCCATACCTTCACCTTTTCTTTGTATATTTACGTTAGTACAATCTTGCTCCTATTTTCTTCATTGTATATATATATATATCTATATTTTTTGAAAATTTCTTCATTGTATATTTGTTCCTTAAATTTGTGGGAAAGCTTCTCTATAGTCTAGATATATATTTTATTCTATGAAATATTATCCTTATTTTTTAACCCCAAAAAAGTCAAAGAATGGAAATATCATATGGGGTAACTTTTGTATTAAAAGTTCTCTTTTATTTTTTTTTTTATACATAGTTCTATATTATTCTAGTTGGGTTAAAATAAGAGATTTTTTAAAAAAGAGTTCAAAAAATCAAGATGTTTTATCGTTCAAAACGTCTATTACAATCATGTATTGAGTGGATCTATCCCTAATATTTACTCAATAAATAGTTGTAATCGACATCTTAAGCATTAAGTCGTCTTGATTTCTATATTTATGTTTTTGTTTAAAAAAAAAAAGTAAGTGGGGTTTAAGGCCCAAAAACTGAAGCCCAAGACCAAAACAATTGTCTCCTCTCTCTCTCTCTCCCAAATTGTCCATTAAAGGGTAAGTAAGGGCACAATCAGACTCAGATTCAGATGCCATAAATTCATCATTCTTTAAATACAAACACAGAAACAGAGGAAGAGAAAAACAGGGCGACTCGATCTGTGCTCTAATTGGCGGCTTGATCTTGCATTTTTCATAAGTAATTCTTCTTCATTCCATTCCTTTCGTTTTATGATCTCTCCTTCAGCTCTTCTATTCCGAATTGTTCCCCAATTTCTTTCCTTTTCTCAATTTGTTCATGTTTTAGGGTTTCTTATTAATTTATACGCGTTTTCTGAATTTGGGATTGTCTAAATTTGATTGCTTTTTGGAGAATTGGGTTGTCTTCAGCTCACTGCAATAGGCTGCTTTCATCTGGTTTGTACTTTATATTTTAACTTCAATTCGGTGTCTTTCTAGTTGATTAAGAATTAGTTTTTCTTTTCTTTTTTTTTTCTTTTTTTTTTGTTTGCACTTTTTGTAGCCTTTTCAGCTGCAACCTAGCTAGAAGCTGCGTTAGTTGCTTTGAATTTTTTGTATATGCATGTGCAGGTGAATATGTGTACGCTCAGGCATTCAGTTTTAAAAGCTTTTCCTTTATGGGTTTTGGCCCGAATCCTTGTTAGGAGGTTGTATTTGAATTTGGAATGGTTTGCATTATGGCATTTGCTAATATTTTAGTTGTTCCCTTATTGCAATCATAATCTCTTTTGATGTCTTCTTGATTATAAGGGTTTTTAGCAGTCATGCTTATCTTTCTAAAAAATGTTCTTATTTCTGCTCATCAGTTATTGGTCTGGTGTGTGTATATATATATGATAACACAGTAAGTGGTTGGATAATGGCTGTTGAGGCTCCTGCCAAACGGGTTTATGATTTTAATAATGATGAAGAAGATGATGATGCACCTCTAACCTTTAAAAGAAGTCATACCCAATCCTCTAAGCAAAATCAGTTAAAGCCAGAAGTAAAGAAGCCAGTATCTCAAAGACCTGATGAGCAGTCCGGGAAGCAGGCATCTGGTATACGATCTCCTAATGGTCAAAGCTCCAATGTCCCAAAGACTAAGACAAATCCATCTTCCAAGGCATCCCTGGTTAAATCTCCTGTAGCAAGTCCAGCACCATCAACTTCATCTGCCAGGGCATCACCAGTTAAATCTCCTCTATCGAGTCCAGCACCATCAACGTCATCTGCCAGGGCATCACCAATGAAGTCACCGGTGGTGAATTCAAGGGCATCAACTTCATCGAGTTATCAGCCGAAACAGGCAGTGAAACATACTGCTGCTGTTAAGGAGGAGAAAAGCCCAATTAAAGGTGAAATTGAGCCAAAGAGTGAAGAGGAGGATTCTGAAGATGATGTCCCTCTGAGTGCCAGGCTTAAAGTTAACTCTGGCACTTCTGCTCAAGTGACTGCACCAAAGACTAAGACAAATCCATCTCCCAAGGCATCCCTGGTTAAATCTCCTGTAGCAAGTCCAGCACCATCAACTTCATCCGCCAGGGCATTGCCAGTTAAATCTCCTCTATCAAGTCCAGCACCATTGACTTCATCTGCCAGGGCATCACCAATGAAGTCATCAGTGGTGAATTCAAGGGCATCAACTCCATCGAGTGATCAGCCAAAACAGGCAGTGAAACATACTGCTGCTTTTAAGGAGGAGAAAAGCCCAATTAAAGGTGAAATTGAGCCAAAGAGTGAAGAGGAGGATTCTGAAGACGATGTCCCTCTGAGTGCCAGGCTTAAAGTTAACTCCGGTACTTCTGCTCAAGTGACCACACCAAGACTGGTGCCCAAGACTGAAAACAAAGGATCTAATGAAGATTTGGATGATTCTGTTCCTCTTTCCTCAAGGTTCAACATGAAATCTAGTACTGGGACTTCAAGCAACAGACCTAAGGATACTGATGAGAAGAAACCAGTGGTCTCTAAAATTCAGCAGAATGGATTCACTGTTAAGGACAGGCAACAAAAGTCATCTGTTGTGTCAGGTAAGAGACCTCTTGATAAGGGCAATTCTGCAGACCAGTCTTCGGTTAAAAAGCTAAAGTTTTCAGATGCATCTACAACATTGAAAGCAGAAGAGAAGGCTGATGATGATGACCGCATTCCAATTGCCCAGAGAATGAAAAAGTCTACTTCATCGAATCCTAAATCATCATCTATGAAGCAAAATGCAACCAAGCTTACCTCTGCTTCATTTAAAAAGACAAATAAGAAGCCCAAGAAAGAGATGAAAAATTCAAAATACAGTAAGTCAACAAAGGTTCCACCCAGCTCTGGTGATGGGCAAAAAAAATGGACTACTTTGGTTCATAATGGTGTTATTTTCCCACCTCCCTACAAGCCTCACGGAGTTAAGATGCTTTATGCTGGGAAGTCAGTTGATTTAACTCCTGTACAAGAGGAGGTCTATTTCTATCTCAGTAGACATCCTCCTTTTACATTGATGTTTTCTGATTTTTTTTTTTTTTCAATAAGCATTGCTTGTTTCATTGAAATTCTAGAAGTTTTCACAGCTCAAATGTGCTGCCTGCTGATAATAACTTATCTCACTCCTCTTCTGTCCATTTGGCAGGTTGCAACTATGTTTGCTGTTATGAAAGACACAGATTACATGAGCAAGCCACAGTTCAAGAAGAACTTCTGGGATGATTGGAGTAAAATATTGGGGAAAAACCATGTCATTAAGGATTTGGAGAAATGTGATTTCACCCCAATATATGAGTGGCATATGAATGAGAAAGAGAAGAAGAAACAAATGACTTCTGAGGTAAGTTGGTTCCAAATAATTTTGCTTTGGCATGCACAATTATCAGTTAGCACACCAAGTTGATGATAAAATAACGTTTCCACAGGAATTGTTATTCCTTTCTTTTAGTTGGCCATGGTTCTTAGCTTTTCATTCTTTCATTTTATTCAGTAGCTATCTCATTATTAACCCACCACAGTAAAACACCCAATTTACTTTGTGATTCTTTTACTCATGTTTTTGATTCAATGTTTCATCCTTTGATCTATTAATGCCTTGTGTAGGAGAAGAAGGCACTTAAAGAAGAGAAGTTAAAGCAGGAGGAAAAGTACATGTGGGCTATTGTTGATGGTGTTAAAGAAAAGGTGAAGCGATGGTTTTTATAAATGTAGTGTTCTCTTTATAGTTCTCTGTGTCTCTGCATTTTTAGTTACTACATGGCTTGGGTAATATATTCTCCCAAGCCTTTTATTACTTGTAGTGCTTTCTTTTGGTTTCTCTATTCATTTTCTAATCTTCCTGAGAGAATGCTGATTTTTATGATTGTTTTTATTGCAGGTTGGGAATTTCCGAGTTGAGCCACCTGGTCTTTTCCGAGGCAGAGGAGAGCATCCAAAGGCAGAGTGACATCTTTCTAAAGCTATTGAAAGTCATTGTTTTCTATATGTGATGATCACAATTGAATTTTCCCTGTTCTTATGTACCCTTTTTGTTATTTATTGTCAGATGGGAAAGTTAAAAAGGCGCATCCGTCCAAATGACATCACAATAAACATTGGGAAGGATGCTCCAATTCCGGAATGTCCAATCCCTGGTGAAAGGTTGGAGATTTAGTTCTAATATATTTTGAAAGATTACGTGGTCATTTTTTATTTAGATTATTTTAACTTTCAGATCTTTTCCCTGACTTGGCAGATGGAAAGATATAAAGCATGATAATACTGTTACATGGTTAGCTTTCTGGAATGATCCAATTAACCCAAAAGAATTCAAGTATGTATTCCTGGCAGCTAGCAGTTCCTTGAAGGGGCAAAGTGACAAGGAGAAATATGAGAAATCAAGGATGCTGAAGGTAATCAGCTGTGTGCTGTAGTGCTTTTTTTTTTCTGCATTATGATATTTTTAATAAGAACTATCTACAAAAGCTAGATGTGTTTTGATTGCAGGATTACATCAAGAACATCAGAGCTGCATATACTAAGGACTTTACCAATAAAGATACCACAAAGAGGCAAATAGCAGTTGCTACTTATCTTATTGATAAACTAGCTCTTAGGGCGGGTAATGAGAAGGTGTGACGTGTTTGTAATGAAAAAATCTTTATGTGGATTCCTTTGGATTACAGGAGCTTATTTTAACACAATTTTATCGTTGATTATCTTATAAATGACTTAGCTTGCTTTTTTAGAGGATTTCATCTGTCTCTGTTACCTTTTAGCGGCATAGGGCTATAGAAAGTGCACTATTTTCAAGCTTTGGTTCATTTTCTGGTTGGCCATGTGCAGGATGATGATGAAGCAGATACTGTTGGTTGCTGCACACTTAAAGTAGGAAATGTTGAGTGCATCCCTCCAAATAAGATAAAGGTATGCTAATAACTATTATATACCAGCAACTATAGTGGTCTTAGTTTTAGATATGTCTATGCGTCCAACATGGATTCAAAGTTGTTAATTAATAATTATAGCCACGTTGCATATTTGTATCGTTTCTTTCTAGCTATTATGGTGCTAATAAATATACCTTTGCTTTATCTTTCAGTTTGACTTCCTTGGTAAAGATTCAATTCAATATGTGAACACAGTTGAGGTTGAGCTTCCTGTTTACAAGGCTATTGGCCAGTTTCAAACTGGTGAGCAAAAAGATCATTGGTATTAGTTTTCATGTTTTTCTTATTTTGTGATGCTTTTTTTGCATACATCTGATGATGGGCTATGCAAGAAGGGATAGTCCTCTCCTTTTCCCAAATCCTTCTCCACTGGACTGAAAGTTTCAAACCTGAGATATCTCTTAAACAGTTAAGCCACCCCCTTGGGGGCCTGATGCTTGTCAATGTGTATAATTGATCTTTTGTGCAGGAAAAAAACCAAATGAGGATCTTTTTGATTTGCTGGATACAAGCAAACTTAATGCTCATCTGAAAGAACTCATGCCTGGCCTTACAGCAAAAGTCTTCCGCACATATAATGCATCCTTCACATTGGATGAAAAGGTATGTGAAAATCAATGTTTTCACAGATATACATAAAAAACTTTTTATATATGTGTGCCTTCATCTTTACCAGGATGCTTCATGTAACATACCCTTAATGAAAGTCATTAGTATGTGGGAGCAAATGAAAATCTGTTGAAACAGAAACAGATTATTATTATTATTATTATTGTTCTTGTTATTATTATTATTATGTACAAAAAAGATTTATGAACTTTCAAAGCAGAGGATCAAGTTTTAAATTCTAATTTTATTGTTTATCAGTCATCTCTTTCTATTTGGAGTTTTGACTTTTTAGACCAATTCAGTTCTTGATAAAGAGATGATAAATTTTATTATTGACTAATTTGAATTGTAATTTACGTCATTTGCCTGTGTTGGAATTCTGATGTATTTTCTAGTTTTTGTGTATTTTTGATAACTTCTGTTTTTCTGGATTTTCCTTCAATCAGTTTCATGTTAGGATTTCCTTTTGATTTTATGACAGTTGAAAGAAACCAAAGATGGAGATGTTGCAGAAAAAATAGTTGTTTATCAGCATGCAAACAAGGAGGTAAGACATTTTATAATTAGATCCTTAGCTAATAACAATTAGATCCTTAGCTAATAACAATTAGATCCTTAGCTAATAACAATGTCTATTTTTAGTTATCTCTTTGGCATCAAAAATTTTGTCTTTTCTCCTACAACAGGTTGCAATCATATGTAATCATCAGCGAAGTATTTCAAAATCTCATAGTGCACAGATGTCAAGGTTGACAGAGAAAATAGAAGAACTCAAGGTAATTACTCTTACCTGAAAGTGTTCCTTGCTTGTATTGTTAAACTTTTAATTCTTGGATAACAGGGGATAGACTAGTCTTCTGCATGCATCAGCCTTGTGCATATTTGTCTTGCTTGTAGAGCTGTTGTTGCTTGTGAAAATGAAGAGACAGCTGCCATGTGTAATTTAGAACATTATCATTTCTTTCTTGGGGCTTGCATTCATGTTTCATTAGACTCCATGCACAAATTCCTGTCTGTGTGCATTGATGATACTCTATGCATATCATAATTCCTTTAGTTTCTTCTAAGGGCTTCTGCATTGGGCTGACTTTTGATCTCTTGCTTGTAGGGCGTCCTGAAAGGGCTAAAAATTGATTTGGACAGGGCTAAGAAAGGCAAACCGCCATTAAAGGATTCTGATGGGAAACAGAAGAGGAACTTGACTCCTGAAGCGTAATTTAACTTGTTCCCTTATTTTAGCTCTTTTTTATTTTTGGCTTCTTTACCCCATATGCTACTTCATCATGTGTCTCTGTCAAATATATGCAGCTTGGAGAAGAAGATAGCCCAAACCAATGCAAAGATTGAGAAGATGGAACGAGATATGCAGACCAAAGAGGATCTAAAAACTGTGGCATTAGGCACATCCAAAATCAATTACCTTGACCCTAGGATTACTGTTGCATGGTGCAAGCGACATGAAGTACCCATTGAGAAGGTAAAAAGTTATGCATTGATGTTTTAGTATGAAATAAAAATTAATTATCCATGGGAATTTACCTCTTATATTTTTAATGCAATTTAAACAGATTTTCAACAAGTCTCTTCTGGCAAAGTTTGCTTGGGCAATGGATGTGGATCCAGATTTCAGATTCTGATATCAACAAGTTAATGGTTCTTTGGCTGGCACCCTGGCCAAAAGGAAAAATTGGGATAAAAGGGAGAAGGTAAAAGGGCCTTCCATTTTTTCTGTTATAGTAATATTCAATTTCCATATCTTTCCCCCCATATTAGAGAGAAATTCATGTTGCAAGATCTGAGCCAATCTAATCTAATGAAGGGCGAATTTGCTCATTTCTTTTCAACTTAATACTGTTGAGCAACACCAATTGTTTGTTTGTAACCCTCGAATATCCACTAACAGTGAAAATGCCAGAAATATACTGAAGATGGATTCAGAAATAGAGTAGATTCCATTAATTTGATTACTTTGCCTCTCCAGTCGTTACAACATTTTTGTTTGATTTTGATGTGTACCAAGTATGAGGCATTCTTTTAGTGTACAATCAATCTCTCTTCCTCTCCCCCCATTAATATGTTATTAGAGATTTGAATATGTCATATTCAAAATGTCATATCCAAAGTAATTAGTCTCTCATTTTTCTGTTCTGAAATGTGAAGGAAGAAGAATTGTGCTTGGAGGTGAGCTAGATAGAAGTTGAAATCAGGTTTTAACGCATGTTATTTCATGAGAGGGAAAGTGAAGGATGAGAAAGACCGTGAATCAATCCGTAAATACGACATATAGTTTTTTTGTAGTTGTATGTATGTAGTATAAGAACATGGATTTTATTTATCATAAAGACTGCGTGACAGAGGACTAGACTAAAAACATACAGTTAAGCAAACAAAAAAGAACATTCCACATGAGAAGGAGAAGCAAAAGGACATGGAGATGAGGCAAGAGATGGAGATGAAGATAATGAAATATCAACCATTTTTCAGCGCTCAAAACTAAAACATGGTAGATATGCTTATTAGTATCAACTATTTTTCAGCGTTAAGCATTTGAAAATAAGTTATGCGTTTGTAAGATATCAACTATTTTCAAGCACTAAGTGTTTGAAAATAAATAATAATAACTTAAAACACGTTATGCGTTTGTTTTATTTATTATTTTTTAATGCTTAATGCTGAAAAATATTATTAAGTTTTTTCAATGTATATTTTTGTGTAAAAAAAAATTATTTGGCATGTGTGTTTTTCCATCAACATTTTTCAGTGCACAATGGTAGAAAATAAGATTTTTTTAGCACATTTTGAGTATTTTTCATCACAAAATCCAGTGAAAATAGTCTCTTTTTAGTAGTATCTGTACTTTTTTTTTTCTTTGTCAAAGTGTATTTAAACAAAACTGCAAGGATCTTCAAATGTCTAGGCGAAAGTTTGAATGAGTGAATGAAAGCAAAAGCAAATCCACACAATGGTTGACCAATGGATTGACAAACAGGAAAATCAACTAGATATGAAGTCTGCAACCTTACCTACCAATGAGTCCCGATAAAGGGAAAACGAATTTTTGGAAAAGAATTGTCATTTTCTGCTCGAGGATCTAATGTTAAATATTCTAAATTTTTAATCAATACCCCATATGGAGATTAATACAATTACTTGAGAAAATAATTTTAGAAACTGATAACTAATTATGTCAATTGAATAATAGTGTGTATATTTGTGAAGAATTAATTTCATTGTCTTATAAATATCAGGCTTAATTCACAATGGCAAGATTACATTAAAAAAAAAAAAAATCAAAATGAGACTAGATTATATAATCCCCAATAAGGCAAAGGTTAGTCCTCTTAGTACTTATTTGGAATAGCAGTTAAAATGCAGCAAATAGCAAATAGCAGTAATGAATAACAAGTGGTGGTTAACAAGTAGCGGGTAGCAGTTAGCGAATAGTTGGTGATGGATAGCGAAAAATAGATAGTGAATAATAAATATCGGATTCAATTAATAGAACTATTTAGTTATACAATAATCAAAAATTGTTGTTTAAAATTAAATGATTAATAAGGATATGTTTAAAAATAATTAATTGGATTTTTTTTATATTTTTATTATTAAAATTATTAATTTTATGAAAATAATAATAATAAATAAATAAATAAATTATAGTAGTGTAATCATTCACTAATTTTTATTTTTTATAAAGAAAAAATTATATTAGTTTTAAATAAAGTATAAAAAAATTTTAATTTTTTATCTAATAAACAGATTTTGTTTATTAAGCTAATATATTTTTTATAATAAATTAATGTAAAAATAAAAATATAAAAATTACTTATATTATTAAAGACAAAAATAAAATTGAAACTAATTAGATAAGTACTAATTAAAAACTATAAAAAAATTAAAATATTAAAAAAGATAAATTTGTCAATAAAATTAAAAAATTTCAATTTGCTAGCAATTTGACACCTAAAACTACTTTATGTAGCTTTTTCAATTCGCTAGTGGTTTGGATCCCAACTGCTATCTATTAATCTCAAACCATTAAATAAAAAATTTTATCAAAGATCTAGTTTGTAGTAGTTTCAAAATAAATAAGTTTATTGAATATTTATTCTTAACAATTTGGGTAAAATTACTAACCATTACTTCCAAACTGCTATACAAAATGGGTCTTTAGTGTGCATGTAAAAAGATCATTACCTGACATACTAAATGAAGTAAAATTGTACCCACAAACACAACTAAAATAGATGGAAAAGAAAGTAGCAATAGAGAATCCTAAAGAGGATCAAATCATAAATGATTGATCCTATCATAAAAGGAGAAAAGAAGAGGACCAAATCATGTAATGATTAATCTAATTGTAGAAGGAAGGAATATCATGTTGTTATTATGAAGATTGATCAATCAAGGAGAAATCAATTTACCAATTGATTAATTTCAATGATTTGATATTAATTGTATTTTCATTAATAGGAGATTTTCAATTAACTATTATTTCCTTATATTGTGTATCCCTCACCTTATAAATGGGGTGGCTCATATGTAAAAAATGCTAAATGTGTAAAGCTCATAGAGGTTGTAAAATGCATAGAGGCTTTTGTATCCTGGATTAGGAAGACCTTGATGCATCATAATGTTATGATACTATTCCAAACCATGTAATATTGTATCTTCCTCTAAAGAATTTTTTTTTTTGGGTTTTTTATTCACCTCCCTCTCTTTTTGTTATGGTTTTTTTTAAAAAAAATATTGGAAGATAAAAGGGTGGGAAAGAAAAAAGATGAAAAAAGAAAAAGGACAAGTATAAACCTTACTCAACTTTCATGTGGAAAGCTAAATAAAGTCTCAAATCGACCTGCTCTAATACCATGAAGAAGCTTCTAATATAATGAAAAATTTTCTAATAATAGAAATTTCAAAATAAAATAGCAATAAGATAAATAAAATAAAAGATAAGTGAGAGTGGAAAACACCATGTTACATAGTTTGGGATAGTGCTAGAACATTATGATATATCAAGACCCCCCAAATCCATGGTGCAAAACAAATCCGTGGTACAAAAGTTTCTATGGGTTTTGCACATTTATTTCTCTTCATGCTTTTCTTACATATGATCCTATTTATAGAGTAAGAGAGATAGAATATAAGGAAATAACAAGTAATTAAAAATCTTCTATTAATGAGAATACAATCAGTATCAAATCCTTAAAATCAATCAATTAGTGAATTGATTTTTTCATGGTTGATCAATCTTTATAATGGTATAATATTCTTCCTTCTACAATTGAATCAATCATTAAATGTTTTGATTCTCTTCTTTCTTACTTTTATGATAGGATCAATTGTTTATGATTCGATCCTCCTTAAATGCTTTTAATTATTTTGCCATTACCCACGTGGGACTTTAGTATGTGTTGTAAAAGTTTTGTCGTTTTATCCCGCTTCTTACCCAATAGTTTTGGTGATCTTACTTTTCTCTGATTTTTATTTTTCTTCTTGCTAGAGTGTGTGATTCAGGACAGACTTGGAGTATACGGACATACGGTGGGCTAAGGAATTTTTTTGTTAGGGTGTTCTTTAAGGGTGGACCAACATTCGAAAAGGGTTGGGCGCATGCCCTATTCCTTTCCCAACAAGTTTTCATAAATTTAAAACCTTAAAATTATATTCCAATTTTATAATGGAAAGCAAGCAAGTGAAATTTTGATCACTTCTTATAGGAAGACACTATTTCTTGGGGACTAATCCTTCAAAACAACTTACATAGTAATCACGCAAGACATGAGGGTTAAATTGTACAAAATCTAATTTTATTAGTTACTATGTGTAAATTAGATGGTAAACAACCATTCTTCACCTAACAAGAATTTGATCAAGTTAATATATATTAACTTAAAAACTTTAATTTGAGGTTAAGGTTAGAGATTTAAACCCACATGATACCAAACAATTAATCCTCCAATGTAAAAATAATAACAATAATAATAATAATAAATAAATAATAAACAATAAACAAAAAACAACCATCTTCTTAAAATAAGATGAAGGTGTACCATTTTGATACCTATATAATAAAAGGCTAGCCACAATACATTCAAACTGAAATTGTGTAGTTATGCAAAATGTGTGTGGAAGAGTTTGAGTGCCATGTCTGAAATTCCTTATCTGGATTCTTGGCAACAGCTTGTGTTATGGATGGGGAAACGAATAAGAAGAAAGTCTTTGTATCAGACACTCATCAAGTTAATGTGGAATGCTGCAGTCTACCATGTTTGGATGGAAAGGAACAGGAGAATCCACCAACATGTCTACAAGATAGCAG